GATATATATATTAGAAACATTTTTTTAAATAAAAAAAATAATATAAAAATATAATAAATAAGACATGATTTCTATTATATGCTATAATACTATATTAATCATAAATTTTAAATAAATAATAAGTCAGATTATTGGATTTTATTCTATTATTTTTGTAAAAATTCAAAAAGCTTTTGCTGAAAGCATGTCTTTTGCTAGATTCAGCTCAACTAACAGTTTGTTGCTTGTGGCTATCATTAGATTTTTGTCATCATATCTGTCCTAATTTCTTGTGGATAACTGTCATGTCAATTTCAAAATTTAATTATTTTCCTGCTTTCTTCACTCTGGTATTTATTTAAAAATATTTTCTTATTAATGAAAATTGAATAAACTTTGCACACTTTACAAGTGTTTCTGAGTGACATAACATAATAAATCTGAGTAAATTTATAATTATTATGTTGTATTTTGTCATTATTTTCAGTTTTGTTATTTTATTTTCACTTTCTTGCATCTTCCCTTATTATTTTATCATTTGCAATTATGTTGCTTGGCATTTTTTTTATTTTCTTAGATTATTAGTTTTAAAACATGCACATTTCTGTATTCTGCACAAAATAACTACAGTTCCAGACAGCATCAAAAATATTTTAAAAAATATACGACAAATATATGTAAGACATTCTTCTTGTAACTTGATCATTTTGGTTGCTCTGTCAAAATTACTTTGACTCTAAACTAATCTGATACAATTATTAAAAGATTAATGATAATTTATTGTAACAAAAAACAAACTGCTTTTCTGGAGTTCATCTTTATTTACAAATTATTCTCTAGCACTTTCAGACAACCAAGTCCATTGTCAGTAGAACTACAAATGAATTAATTTAGTAGCCATCTCCTAAGTCTGATATACAATTGTTGATGTAACATGTGATTGTACAGACTTAGGACCCAGCTACTAAAGCAGTTCATTTGTATATCTCCTGGTGATGGACTAGGTTGTCCAAAAGTGCTAGAGAACAATTTATTAATAAAGGTGAACTCCAGAAAAGCAGTTTATTTTTTGTTATTTTTAAAGAACTTGGAGTTGTTTTCCACATTAATTATAGTTTATTCTAAAATTCTAACAAAAGAAAAAAACAATTAACATATTACTAAACATTTCTTACATACAATTAATTTGTATATATCTTTCTGAGACATTGTTGGAATAAGGGAAGATTCCATTAAAACCTAGTTTCCATTTGGAAACTATTGGAAATAAGGGAAGACACATTAACTACACTAATTTGCTTATTACAGTTATTAAGTCAAACAATTAAGAGCAACCTGAAATATAAAGTGGATGATGCTAAAAAAGGATCTGAAGAAGTAGACGATGTTGGTGATTCTAGTCAGTTATCTCCTATTGTCAGTGTTGATCGATCACCTGTTTCTCGAACTGTGTCTGGATCATCACGAGTAAGTTAAAAGTGGTATTAGTTATACCACTAACAATATTTTAAAAACTATTTTAATTGTTATACCTAATTCTGTAGTACAAGCTGTATTTATTATATATACATATTTATTTTAATCAAGCATTAATTTCAAGTTATTATTATTTAATAAATTTTAATATATCTTGGGAAAATGCATTAAGTTTATTTTTTATTTTTGTATTAATAATTTATATGAGATGTCTTTTATGAGATGTATTATTATTATTATTATTATTATTGTTGTTATAATAATGATTGCAAAGCAAATTATTTTTTTTCTAATGAAATCACATGACTGTCACTCCTTCAGTTAAACAAACAGTAATCTGACAATTATAACTGAATTTTTTTTTTATGCAAAAAAACTTTTAGAACTGTGTAAGTTTAAGATAAGATGAAATTCCTACATTAGGAAAAATTTTTAGACTGAAAAAGTTAATCTGCAGTGTTTGACTTTAAAATTTAACTTAGTTTCACTGAATTTTTTTAAATGATGATGATTATGCATTTCTATATTAATAATGAAAGACTAAGCCAAAATTTTATTGACTTCTTAAGCTATATGTATTACTTCTCCATTCAAATATGGTATATATCTAAGTATTGAAATTTTTAAATAATATTTGGTTTAAAACAGCATCAGGGATCTGAATATTCTCCTCGTGATCATCATGATACAGCTGTTCCAAGCACAAGTTCCTTCAGCCGGCATCCATCCGTGCAAACAAAAACTCGACAGTGCTCTGTTGAAGATCATGGTACTGTTTGCATGGAATCTGGAGAAAAAGATTCTTATTTAGATGATGAACCTATAGAAGGTAAGGGAAATATTGTAATTAGAATTTTTATATATTTTATTAGAATAATGTAAAGTTATATTACATGCTAGGGATAAGACTTGAGCATTTAATAAAATATGATATAATAAATTTGATTTATGCTGTTTTTAAGCTCAGTTTTTATTATTTAAATATATGTATACAATGTAATCTCAATTTATGTTTATTTTTGTCATTCCAAACACTCTTTTCAAAAACAGGAACAAATTTATTCATTATTTTTTACTGTTAAAATTTGTACCTCATTTTGGCTTAAACTGGCAACAAAACTAATTTTAAGTAAACCATGGTTTTAGCATAAACCAAAAATTGGTTGTAAAAACTGATTTCGAACAGATAATAAAAATGGTATTGTTATTACAGTATTATTTTGTCTACTTGCCTTTTTTTACTTTTAGTTGACAGTAAAATATGCTTGGATTCATGATTCCTTATAACTGGTGTTCTACCATAAAATTTCAGTATAACATTACAATTTGTGCACTGCAACTGTGTTTTTACAAAGTGAAGAATGGTATTATCCTTGACTTTAAAAATAATATCATGCATTATTCTGGTTTAAATTTGAAAATTAATGTTAAAACCAATGAGAAATAATCTTAAAACAATAATGTTTTCAATTGCTATTTGTTAAATATAAATTAAATCTAGCTTTTACAAATTATCAAAGAAACACTTCTTTTTGGCAGGAATAAAATGATATAGGCATATTCACGAATCTTGGCTAATAATAATTATTGTAGTATTTTATTAATATTAATAAAATACAATAATAAAACATTAATTCTACTGAATTCACTTTTGAAACTAGTTTGTCTTTTTATATTTAAAAACTGGTTTTATTGAAAACTGATAGACTGATTTCAAAAATTTCTGGTTTTGACAATTTAGACCAGGGGTCGCCAAAGTGGTCGATATCGACCCCAATAATGTTATATCGACCCCCCCAGGGGTCGATATAACATTATTGGGGGTCGATTATCAAGCTTAAGCTAAGGATAAGGGGGAGCTAAGGATCAAGCTTATCTGTCTCACTGATAGTCAGTTACAAAAATTATTATTAACAAATATATAATAAATGAAAAAAATTCAAAATTAAAAGAAATGTATTAAAATAGTAAGTATTTTGTTTTGCTTGTAACATAAACTTTTTAGTGGGGGTCGATGTGAGGTTTCGAAAACTTGTAGGGAGTCTATGATCAAAAAAGTTTGGTGACTCTTGATTTAGACTAATTCTATATGTTTTTCAAATAAAATGAAAGTGCTACAAAAACATTTCTATTGATCAATGATTCTGAATGAAATAAGATAAAAATATTAATTAGATTATTTACTAATATAAAAGAAATTGTTATAAAATTAAAGATTTATACAAGTATAAATCATTATACATTTCTTTATTTAATGGTAAGAAAACAATAGTTATTTAAGACAATAAACATGTAAAAATAAGTAAAATAGTGTAAAATAAAATTGTTTTTAATTACTAAAATTATAATTATTGATGGAAGAGTTTTGTGATGTAGAGTATACCAAACTGCAAACCGTGTTAGAACAAATGACACTATCCTAATATAATGGAGTGTTTTTAAAGTATATTTTATTAAAAAATTGAACTATTAAATACTATATATTATTTTAAAAGAAATTTTATTTACAATAGTTTAGAAATAATGAACACAATCATTATGGTTTCTCATTTCCCTGTCCTTTGCTTGTCCTGGAATTTCAAGAAAACAGTGATCAGTTTCCCAGAATATAATTAATTATTTTTAAGATATAAAATAAATCTTGAAATCAAATGTTATAATTATTTTTCATTTTTTAAGTAATTTAATATGTTCTACAATCTCCAAAATAATAATATTAACAATGCTGTGTAAAATATGTATTAGAAATTACCTTTGGATTACGTAGAAATTGTCACAAATAGAAAAAATTTATTAAAGTTTGTTGGAAACTGCTTACAACAAAAATGCCTCTGAATTGAGTTGAAAATTTAAAGAAAAAAATGAACTTAGATCAAACTTCTAACTTAGATGGTAATATTAGAAGCAAAGAAAAAAAACATTATATCCACACACAAGGTAAAGGGGTCCTTTTACCTTGTGTGTGGATATAATGTTTCAGGGACCTTTGTGAAATGTTGGTGCAAAAGCTGGAGAACAAGGTCCTAACTCACTTTCTTCCCAACATCCTTATATATAGGAGATATATTGATGATGATGATATTTTTTGCAAGAGTATTCTGGATGTGATGGCCTTTGTTGATTCTATCAACAATAATCTATACAGATTGACCCTGGAAATGGAACAATCCAGCCCTACCAAAGTGTATTTCTTAGAAGTAAATATTAGAGTGGAAGGCTTGGGCATCACCACCTCAGTGTATCATAAGCCAGGGTCCATGTCATCATACATTAGGTGGTGTCATGCAATCCAGTTTTGTACAAGATTGCAGCCTATAAAGCCTTAATCAGAAGAGCCTTTACACATTTTTCTGACACCCAGGCTCTTGATACCGAAGTAATGTCTATAGTTTTGTCATTCCAAACACTCTTTTCAAAAACAGGAACANACAATACATAAAATTAAGTACAGGTAATTTATTCTTTTTTGAATTCCAAATACTACTTAATTGAAATATATATAATAGATACAAGTATTTAAAATTTTGTACTATTTTTAAATTGTTACTACATTTAAAATTCCAAATTAGAAATTTGATATATTTATGGAATTTTTTCTTTATTAATTCAAAAGAAAATGTGAATTGTAATAATTGGATTTATGAAAATATGGTCATATACGTACATACAAAACAGATTTCAATAGAGCTAAATGTCTTTGTGTGAATTTTTAGAAAAGCTTGTTTTTGTTTACATTTAGAAGAAGAAACAATAAAATAATCAATCAAGAATCTTCAAATACTGGATTAAAATACAAAAATAATCCCTCATCAAACCCTTTAACTGGTATTAAACAAGAGTAAAATTACATGCAAACGTTTTCAGATCCCTCCCTGGGTCCTTTCTCAAGCAACTATTCTTCTTTAAAATTTGTTAGAATGAAGACCAGTAGAACGAACTTCTTCAAAACTGCGATATTCGAAAAACTACTTCTTCCGAACCACATTTCAAAAGTCGAAATTCAAATATCAATGTGAATCACGTGCATTCCAGTATTCCGTAATGTAATGCTCGTTTTTCTTAAAAAGGTTTTTATGGGTTTTTACGTTAACGAAAAAATAAATAAAGAAAAAATAAAATAGCGTATCAGCAGGTATGAGGTTTTAATACCCTATTTACTATACGTATTTATTAATGTGGATCCTCCTTCTGGAGTAGGGCCTGCAATGCTAGGGACAGGGTAATCTCATCCCTCGAGTTAATAGGTGCAGAAGTGTTGTATGCTTTGCAAATTTCCATTTGTTCCAACCACTTGAGGTGGTCCGTAAATGGTGTAGTAATGCGGAGTTTGGCGTTGTCGAAGTTTGCCGAAATCTCCAAGTCTGACGCATACATGGATAACGATGTAGAACCCCTTTTGTGGAGGATGTCCCGTTGGTGTTCAGTCCATCTGACACCAATAGCACGTCTAGTAGCGCTCACAGACCAGTTCCCACTCAAATCTATGGTCTGTGAGCACTACTAGACGTGCTATTGGTGTCAGATGGACTGAACACCAACGGGACATCCTCCACAAAAGGGGTTCTACATCGTTATCCATGTATGCGTCAGACTTGGAGATTTCGGCAAACTTCGACAACGCCAAACTCCTCATTACTACACCGTTTATGGACCACCTCAAGTGGTTGGAACAAATGGAAATTTGCAAAGCATACAACACTTCTGCACCTATTAACTCGAGGGATGAGATTACCCTGTCCCTAGCATTGCAGGCCCTACTCCAGAAGGAGGATCCACATTAATAAATACGTATAGTAAATAGGGTATTAAAACCTCATACCTGCTGATACGCTATTTTATTTTTTCTTTATTTATTTTTTCGTTAACGTAAAAACCCATAAAAACCTTTTTAAGAAAAACGAGCATTATATTACGGAATACTGGAATGCACGTGATTCACATTGATATTTGAATTTCGACTTTTGAAATGTGGTTCGGAAGAAGTAGTTTTTCGAATATCGCAGTTTTGAAGAAGTTCGTTCTACTGGTCTTCATTCTAACAAATTTTAAAGAATAGTTGCTTGAGAAAGGACCCAGGGAGAGATCCGAAAACGTTTTCATGTAATTTTACTCTTGTTTAATACCAGTTAAAGGGTTTGATGAGGGATTATTTTTGTAAAATAAGTTTCAGTTTTGACAATTTTAAATATTCTTTTAGGTTTTTTATTTTTATCAAAATCTACCTTCTCCATTATTACATAGCTATTTATCATTATTCTTTTGGACTTCATTTTTAATATTCTAGAACAGCGTTTCTCAAACTTTTTGCTCATGTGACCCAATATATTTGTTTGTAATGGTTTCACAACTAGTGTTGCCACCTTTTCAAAATTGCTGACCCAGCAAGTCCCTTACTGGTTTGAATTTGAAACTGTACGAGACATGTGCAATGCCATTTTACAGCCAAGAACTGAATAATGCGCATGCCAGTTTTAAACCAGTTAGGGACTTGTGTTGGAACAGACCTAATATTTGCCAGAGATATTTGCAAGTTAGAATTTTAAAAATACATTTTCTGTCACTCTTAGCCTAGGGATAAGTTTGGGTGAGGGTATGAAGTTAATGTTTAACCATTAAAATAAAATACTCACAAATATTTTTATAAATTTATTTTATCATAATTTCTAATTATGATAAAATTATGACAAATTAATAATCAATCTGGACCATGAATTTAAAAACCAGCTTGTCGGGGTGAAAACTGGCCTGGTGACAACACTATTCACGTTTATGTTTATAATATACAATTTTTTAAAAACCCGATAAAATCACTGTATATTATAAAATTAAATAAAATTATGCTTTAATATATTGTACGTGTGAAGTGTAATATAGAGTACATTTCTATTAAGAGCAATTCAGGCAATTTTGATTTGTGACAAATAACCTACTTCAATTTCAGTTTTTATTATTTGAAAATAATCAACAACATTTTACCTTCCTGGAGTAAACTAATTTTACTCTCAAACTCTCAAATTTTACACTATAATCAATTAAAATTAATTATTAATTTTTGCATTAAACATTTTATAACTGTTTCCAATAGCAATACTGAAAGCATAATGTTTTTAGTTAAAAATAACTTTTTATTGAAAATTTAACTTAAAAAATATAAGAAATAGTTATAGAGCATAAAATAATTTTAAATACTTAAATTAAGTATTTTTTATATACTTTATTAATTTAATTGATTAAAATTTTACAAAGTATTTTAAAATTTTAACAATAGATTAAAAGATGAAAAATCCANGATATATATATTAGAAACATTTTTTTAAATAAAAAAAATAATATAAAAATATAATAAATAAGACATGATTTCTATTATATGCTATAATACTATATTAATCATAAATTTTAAATAAATAATAAGTCAGATTATTGGATTTTATTCTATTATTTTTGTAAAAATTCAAAAAGCTTTTGCTGAAAGCATGTCTTTTGCTAGATTCAGCTCAACTAACAGTTTGTTGCTTGTGGCTATCATTAGATTTTTGTCATCATATCTGTCCTAATTTCTTGTGGATAACTGTCATGTCAATTTCAAAATTTAATTATTTTCCTGCTTTCTTCACTCTGGTATTTATTTAAAAATATTTTCTTATTAATGAAAATTGAATAAACTTTGCACACTTTACAAGTGTTTCTGAGTGACATAACATAATAAATCTGAGTAAATTTATAATTATTATGTTGTATTTTGTCATTATTTTCAGTTTTGTTATTTTATTTTCACTTTCTTGCATCTTCCCTTATTATTTTATCATTTGCAATTATGTTGCTTGGCATTTTTTTTATTTTCTTAGATTATTAGTTTTAAAACATGCACATTTCTGTATTCTGCACAAAATAACTACAGTTCCAGACAGCATCAAAAATATTTTAAAAAATATACGACAAATATATGTAAGACATTCTTCTTGTAACTTGATCATTTTGGTTGCTCTGTCAAAATTACTTTGACTCTAAACTAATCTGATACAATTATTAAAAGATTAATGATAATTTATTGTAACAAAAAACAAACTGCTTTTCTGGAGTTCATCTTTATTTACAAATTATTCTCTAGCACTTTCAGACAACCAAGTCCATTGTCAGTAGAACTACAAATGAATTAATTTAGTAGCCATCTCCTAAGTCTGATATACAATTGTTGATGTAACATGTGATTGTACAGACTTAGGACCCAGCTACTAAAGCAGTTCATTTGTATATCTCCTGGTGATGGACTAGGTTGTCCAAAAGTGCTAGAGAACAATTTATTAATAAAGGTGAACTCCAGAAAAGCAGTTTATTTTTTGTTATTTTTAAAGAACTTGGAGTTGTTTTCCACATTAATTATAGTTTATTCTAAAATTCTAACAAAAGAAAAAAACAATTAACATATTACTAAACATTTCTTACATACAATTAATTTGTATATATCTTTCTGAGACATTGTTGGAATAAGGGAAGATTCCATTAAAACCTAGTTTCCATTTGGAAACTATTGGAAATAAGGGAAGACACATTAACTACACTAATTTGCTTATTACAGTTATTAAGTCAAACAATTAAGAGCAACCTGAAATATAAAGTGGATGATGCTAAAAAAGGATCTGAAGAAGTAGACGATGTTGGTGATTCTAGTCAGTTATCTCCTATTGTCAGTGTTGATCGATCACCTGTTTCTCGAACTGTGTCTGGATCATCACGAGTAAGTTAAAAGTGGTATTAGTTATACCACTAACAATATTTTAAAAACTATTTTAATTGTTATACCTAATTCTGTAGTACAAGCTGTATTTATTATATATACATATTTATTTTAATCAAGCATTAATTTCAAGTTATTATTATTTAATAAATTTTAATATATCTTGGGAAAATGCATTAAGTTTATTTTTTATTTTTGTATTAATAATTTATATGAGATGTCTTTTATGAGATGTATTATTATTATTATTATTATTATTGTTGTTATAATAATGATTGCAAAGCAAATTATTTTTTTTCTAATGAAATCACATGACTGTCACTCCTTCAGTTAAACAAACAGTAATCTGACAATTATAACTGAATTTTTTTTTTATGCAAAAAAACTTTTAGAACTGTGTAAGTTTAAGATAAGATGAAATTCCTACATTAGGAAAAATTTTTAGACTGAAAAAGTTAATCTGCAGTGTTTGACTTTAAAATTTAACTTAGTTTCACTGAATTTTTTTAAATGATGATGATTATGCATTTCTATATTAATAATGAAAGACTAAGCCAAAATTTTATTGACTTCTTAAGCTATATGTATTACTTCTCCATTCAAATATGGTATATATCTAAGTATTGAAATTTTTAAATAATATTTGGTTTAAAACAGCATCAGGGATCTGAATATTCTCCTCGTGATCATCATGATACAGCTGTTCCAAGCACAAGTTCCTTCAGCCGGCATCCATCCGTGCAAACAAAAACTCGACAGTGCTCTGTTGAAGATCATGGTACTGTTTGCATGGAATCTGGAGAAAAAGATTCTTATTTAGATGATGAACCTATAGAAGGTAAGGGAAATATTGTAATTAGAATTTTTATATATTTTATTAGAATAATGTAAAGTTATATTACATGCTAGGGATAAGACTTGAGCATTTAATAAAATATGATATAATAAATTTGATTTATGCTGTTTTTAAGCTCAGTTTTTATTATTTAAATATATGTATACAATGTAATCTCAATTTATGTTTATTTTTGTCATTCCAAACACTCTTTTCAAAAACAGGAACAAATTTATTCATTATTTTTTACTGTTAAAATTTGTACCTCATTTTGGCTTAAACTGGCAACAAAACTAATTTTAAGTAAACCATGGTTTTAGCATAAACCAAAAATTGGTTGTAAAAACTGATTTCGAACAGATAATAAAAATGGTATTGTTATTACAGTATTATTTTGTCTACTTGCCTTTTTTTACTTTTAGTTGACAGTAAAATATGCTTGGATTCATGATTCCTTATAACTGGTGTTCTACCATAAAATTTCAGTATAACATTACAATTTGTGCACTGCAACTGTGTTTTTACAAAGTGAAGAATGGTATTATCCTTGACTTTAAAAATAATATCATGCATTATTCTGGTTTAAATTTGAAAATTAATGTTAAAACCAATGAGAAATAATCTTAAAACAATAATGTTTTCAATTGCTATTTGTTAAATATAAATTAAATCTAGCTTTTACAAATTATCAAAGAAACACTTCTTTTTGGCAGGAATAAAATGATATAGGCATATTCACGAATCTTGGCTAATAATAATTATTGTAGTATTTTATTAATATTAATAAAATACAATAATAAAACATTAATTCTACTGAATTCACTTTTGAAACTAGTTTGTCTTTTTATATTTAAAAACTGGTTTTATTGAAAACTGATAGACTGATTTCAAAAATTTCTGGTTTTGACAATTTAGACCAGGGGTCGCCAAAGTGGTCGATATCGACCCCAATAATGTTATATCGACCCCCCCAGGGGTCGATATAACATTATTGGGGGTCGATTATCAAGCTTAAGCTAAGGATAAGGGGGAGCTAAGGATCAAGCTTATCTGTCTCACTGATAGTCAGTTACAAAAATTATTATTAACAAATATATAATAAATGAAAAAAATTCAAAATTAAAAGAAATGTATTAAAATAGTAAGTATTTTGTTTTGCTTGTAACATAAACTTTTTAGTGGGGGTCGATGTGAGGTTTCGAAAACTTGTAGGGAGTCTATGATCAAAAAAGTTTGGTGACTCTTGATTTAGACTAATTCTATATGTTTTTCAAATAAAATGAAAGTGCTACAAAAACATTTCTATTGATCAATGATTCTGAATGAAATAAGATAAAAATATTAATTAGATTATTTACTAATATAAAAGAAATTGTTATAAAATTAAAGATTTATACAAGTATAAATCATTATACATTTCTTTATTTAATGGTAAGAAAACAATAGTTATTTAAGACAATAAACATGTAAAAATAAGTAAAATAGTGTAAAATAAAATTGTTTTTAATTACTAAAATTATAATTATTGATGGAAGAGTTTTGTGATGTAGAGTATACCAAACTGCAAACCGTGTTAGAACAAATGACACTATCCTAATATAATGGAGTGTTTTTAAAGTATATTTTATTAAAAAATTGAACTATTAAATACTATATATTATTTTAAAAGAAATTTTATTTACAATAGTTTAGAAATAATGAACACAATCATTATGGTTTCTCATTTCCCTGTCCTTTGCTTGTCCTGGAATTTCAAGAAAACAGTGATCAGTTTCCCAGAATATAATTAATTATTTTTAATATATAAAATAAATCTTGAAATCAAATGTTATAATTATTTTTCATTTTTTAAGTAATTTAATATGTTCTACAATCTCCAAAATAATAATATTAACAATGCTGTGTAAAATATGTATTAGAAATTACCTTTGGATTACGTAGAAATTGTCACAAATAGAAAAAATTTATTAAAGTTTGTTGGAAACTGCTTACAACAAAAATGCCTCTGAATTGAGTTGAAAATTTAAAGAAAAAAATGAACTTAGATCAAACTTCTAACTTAGATGGTAATATTAGAAGCAAAGAAAAAAAACATTATATCCACACACAAGGTAAAGGGGTCCTTTTACCTTGTGTGTGGATATAATGTTTCAGGGACCTTTGTGAAATGTTGGTGCAAAAGCTGGAGAACAAGGTCCTAACTCACTTTCTTCCCAACATCCTTATATATAGGAGATATATTGATGATGATGATATTTTTTGCAAGAGTATTCTGGATGTGGTGGCCTTTGTTGATTCTATCAACAATAATCTATACAGATTGACCCTGGAAATGGAACAATCCAGCCCTACCAAAGTGTATTTCTTAGAAGTAAATATTAGAGTGGAAGGCTTGGGCATCACCACCTCAGTGTATCATAAGCCAGGGTCCATGTCATCATACATTAGGTGGTGTCATGCAATCCAGTTTCGTACAAGATTGCAGCCTATAAAGCCTTAATCAGAAGAGCCTTTACACATTTTTCTGACACCCAGGCTCTTGATACCGAAGTAATGTCTATAGAGTGCATAGCTGCAGCATAGGGTTATCACAAACTTGCATGTAGGCTGATAGAATGTTATCAACATATACATTCGGAACAGGGTGGACTGGCTGATTGATAACCAACCCGATGCTAATAGAATAAATCCCCATCACCTTTAATTCATACGTAAGATCCTTATACTCAGAGGTTTCCAGGAAATGCTGTTTACATCTCACTTTCAGGAGGTGCCCAACTATTTTTGACATCCTACATAATGGGAAGGATCCTCCTAACCAGAGCATATTCCCCGGAATGTATAGTATCCCTATAAGGGATAATAGATGCAATAGAGACCTAATATATATAGACTCTACTAAACGTTCTGTGGACATCAGAATACAAGAACATTAGGCAGATATCCATCATGTGAGAATCTCCATGGCCCTCACTACTTATGTAACAGATCCAGATATAGTAGCCAACTTTTCCCGGGCCAATCTCATCCTTGCTGCGCCTTCCACTGAACACCTCAAATGGTTAGAGGCTATGCACATTTTTAAATCCAGCCTCACAGCTACATGCATAAATTTTAAAGAGGCAATGGTTTTGTCATTGGCCCTGGCAAGAGTTGATTCACAACTCACTCTAGCTGCGCACTGTGTCCAGGCAGCCCGATTTGTTGTGCATGCGCAACATGGGTTTTAGTAAAATTTTTCGAACTTATAATCAAACTCTTATTTAAACATTATTCCATAAACAAATAACCATCTAGAACAGTTAAGAACCTTATGCAGAGTCCAGAAGGGTTTGAAAACATTCACTTTTTGCATTGTTTTGTTATCACACCATAATTGGTTTTGAGTGCATCATTATCATAAATAACTACTCACCACACTGGATTAAAGTATCAGTTTTGTTCATGAGATAGACCAGACAGTTCAGATTCACTTTTTGCAAAGTAATGGTCTGTAGACATTTCAATTTTGCTCAAACACCTGCCATGAACTCATGCCAGATACATTCCCAACTTTTTGAGCAATATTTCTCCAAACTTGTTTTTAATGAATTCAAGTACTTTGCACCACAAGCATGAGAAGTATATTACTGTTTACATAGTGCCTAAAATCTTTCAATGGGACAGGTGTGGGGTACATGGGGCATTGTTTTCATTTTCTACAAACTCAAGCCCAGTACTTTGAATGAAGCTAATAACTGTGGGCATAATGGGCTGTTGCTAGATCTGGCCAAAATACCACAACTTCTATGTTATGGTGTTTTTGGAAAAAGGGAATAAAGTGCTACTTAACACTCTTTGAGGTATATAGCAGCATTGATAGATCTTCAAGAAATAAAAGATTTAGACATTTGTCTGCATTTATAAATTGCCTGCCATATTAAGTAATTTTGCAGAAATTTAGCTTTTCTATAAACCTAACTTAATATCATACAACTGATTTATTAGTGGAGTGGTAGAATTTTATTCAAGGCACTTGTTTTGTGTCTTTATGCCAGTATTTCTCATCATCTTTCACCAACACTGACTCTCTGAGTCCCAGATCGAACATTCCGATAGGGCGATGTCGATCTGCCCCCGTTCTCTAATTGGTCTCCCCTCCTCGTTATGAATTGTAACGGGATCGGAGCCCAGATCGCGGGGTGAGTCCCCCCGACTGACAATTTGATTCCTATCGAAGATGTTCGATCTAAGTACTCAAATTCATCTATTGTTTCTTTCTGAGAAATTCGTTTTTTCTCAGAAATTTCTACAGATATGACTATATAGGGACATAATATATTCGCCTTGCGTTAGACGGTTTCTTTTTACAATATAAAATAATGATTATAATAATTTAAAAACACTTTTTTTTTTATACGAAATTAAAACATTTTCTGTGCACGAATTTCGACCCACTTCCGGAGCCTCACACTGATAGTTGCTCATTGAGCATAAAATGTTACCTATCCTTCTTTTGATATTGTCCTAAAATGCCTTCATAGTAATGGCAAATACAGAACAAGAGCTTCATTTCTTTTACTCTGCATGTTGACAGTTTTCCTCTCCCACCTGAAGTGGTATTGTCTGTAGGTGTGTATGTCCTGACAAGCAGTCTTACAAGTTTTATCATGGTTAGCATCAAATAACTATGTTAATATATTTGCTTTCTTAAGTAACTCTTTCATTTCTAAACACTCATTAATGACTTTTTTTTGTTTGATCAAATTTTAAATATTTTTATCCAAGTAAGTTTTTTAAATAGCTTCTTAAATGGAATTCTAACCTGTGAGATGTGAAGTGCTAACTTTAAATGAAAAAGTAAAAATTCTCAATATGGTTGAAATAGAAAAAAATCATTTGCAGTTATTACCAAGCTATATGAAAAAATGAATCTTCAATACACAAAGTAATGAAGAACAAAACTAAAATTTGTGCCAATTTTTCTGTTACATCTTGATCTACAAAAGTTTCTGATACAGTGCAAGATAAGGTGTTACTCAAGAGGGAAAAAGCATTAAATCTGTGGGTATAAGATATGATTAGAAAAACAGTGCCTATTGATAATAACATATAATCTCAGTGCTCAACAGTAACCACTGAGTTTATGAGGACATTCAGTCACAAGACAGTAGAGAAGAAGAATCTAAGCCATTTACAGAAAGGAAGGGATGGTTAAATAGATTCAAAACAAGGTTTAATCTAAAAAAAAAAATATTAAAATTACTGGAAAAGCTGCATCTGCTGGTGAGGATGTTGCTATCATGTTTCCCATAGAGTTAAAAAAAACATTGAGGAGAAAGGCTATCATCCTAAGCAAGTTTTTAATTGTGATGAAACAGGACTTCTTTGGAAAAAGATGCCCGAGATAACCTACATATACAAAAGTGTGAAACAGGTACCAAGCTTTAAAAGATTCAAAGACAGATTAATACTGGTACTACTGTACTTGGCAATGCAGCTGGACATATGATAAAATCTGGTGTTGTTCACTAAGCGAAGAATCTTTATGCTCTTAAAAACAAAAATAAAAAATATCTGCCCATCTTCTGGCAGCACAGTTCCAAGGCATGGGTCATGACTGTATTATTCACTGAATTGTTTCATCAATGTTTCATTCCTGAAGTGAAGAAATATTTGTAGAAAGAAGGATTACAATTTAAGGCTTATTGTTAATAGATAATGTGGCTGGTCCTCAGTCACTTAGTATTGAAGATGAAAATATTAAAGTACTATTTTTACCACCAAATATGACCTCATTGCTGTAGCCACTTGATCAGTGTCATTAGATTCATCAAAGCATCATGTACTCAACAGGTATTTAATATGATTCAAGCAATGATTAAGGTTGGTTGCCCCTGATGTTGAACTTATGATCTGTTGGAAACCATTTACCATTGCTGATGCAATTGTCTTCAACAAAGGGGCAATGAATGAATTAAAACTATAAATAGTGTGAGGTTCCAGACATGAGTCAAAATAAAAATTAATTATAAGATTAATTAGGAAGAGAAAACTTTTGTTGTTGAATCAGAACAAAGATCGTGCAAGTTATGTAAGATAGAGACAAGAAGAAAGCTGTAGATATCAAGACAAACGTGATGCTAAGATGAACAACATGATAGATCTTAGTAGAATGTTGACCCAGAAAGATGGAACTTTGACAGAATGTTGTATACAAGCAGTCTAAGTTAGAAAATTGGAAAAAGGGGAAAGGTTGACGGTCAAAGGACATTGTGTTAGATCGTTGAAATTCTAAAGTGTCAGAGAAAAGACAATAATGAAGTAAAACATGAGCACAGGTTTCACAGTTTCATCAACATCTCCAGGTAAGAGTCGATGGATGGTTTCAAATAGACTCTCCAAAGCGGACTTTTCTCGCTAGCCAAACAGGTCTCAGTTTTCCACATGGAGACAAGGGAGCAACCAATCGGGAAGCGGGAAAATGATTGTCATCACTCATTTGGATAACAACCAAGTCTCTACAAACTGCCAACTCAAATCTTCCCCATCACCAGATAAACACCCATCATTGCTGCTCCAGAGCCCATCATCCGCCGTCCACCTTTAACCACCAAAGGACTCCTCTTATCTACTGATCATCGCTTTCAAACAAAACCTCAGATACAAACTTTTTGTATATTGTAAGTTCTCTTGAATTGCAATAAACGGTTGTATGTTAGTACTGTCTCCTCCACCACCACCCACATGTGGACAGACTCTAGATCATCATTGATGCAGGATTAACCATTTTCCCCCGAAAGTCAGCAAACTCACAATAGTAACAGCATGCTGGAAGAATTTGAGGATTGATGATTTCTAAGACTTCCCTGAATTGACACAAAAGTAAGAGAGATAATTCAAACAACAAGACAAATTGGTGATGAAGGATTTTTCAATATGATAGAGGAAAAAGTGTTTACAAATGAGAAGTTAGAAGCCCTCATCAAATTGTCTCAAAGAAAGAAGACAATGATGAAGAAGACACTGAACCAGAACCAGCAGTGTGGACATTTGAAAAATTTGGTGAAGTGTTTCAAATGACCTAGGATTTGAAGAAAAAGATGATAGAATATGATTTTATGGTGGAATTCAACATTAAAATTAATAACAGAAAATATTAAATTTAATAACAGAAGCTTTAGAATTTGTTTTATAAGCACAATGTAGCATAATAACGATCACTTGGCATGATTCATTTCTTTATTTCAATTTTCGTTAATACGCGTTTAAATAAAGAAATGAATTGTGCCAAGTGATCGTTATTACACTACATTGCGCTTATAAAACAAATAAAAAATATGACATGGTTTCAAAATATGGAAGGAGAAGCTTTAGAACTTCTTTATAATTTGTTTCGTGAAATGAAAAGACAGATGCAATCACTTTCCATCACAATATTTTATCATAAGGCTAAAAAAGTACAGTATTTGCTATTGACAACCCCTCAGCCATCATCATCATTATCATCTACTCACATNTAAATAAGACATGATTTCTATTATATGCTATAATACTATATTAATCATAAATTTTAAATAAATAATAAGTCAGATTATTGGATTTTATTCTATTATTTTTGTAAAAATTCAAAAAGCTTTTGCTGAAAGCATGTCTTTTGCTAGATTCAGCTCAACTAACAGTTTGTTGCTTGTGGCTATCATTAGATTTTTGTCATCATATCTGTCCTAATTTCTTGTGGATAACTGTCATGTCAATTTCAAAATTTAATTATTTTCCTGCTTTCTTCACTCTGGTATTTATTTAAAAATATTTTCTTATTAATGAAAATTGAATAAACTTTGCACACTTTACAAGTGTTTCTGAGTGACATAACATAATAAATCTGAGTAAATTTATAATTATTATGTTGTATTTTGTCATTATTTTCAGTTTTGTTATTTTATTTTCACTTTCTTGCATCTTCCCTTATTATTTTATCATTTGCAATTATGTTGCTTGGCATTTTTTTTATTTTCTTAGATTATTAGTTTTAAAACATGCACATTTCTGTATTCTGCACAAAATAACTACAGTTCCAGACAGCATCAAAAATATTTTAAAAAATATACGACAAATATATGTAAGACATTCTTCTTGTAACTTGATCATTTTGGTTGCTCTGTCAAAATTACTTTGACTCTAAACTAATCTGATACAATTATTAAAAGATTAATGATAATTTATTGTAACAAAAAACAAACTGCTTTTCTGGAGTTCATCTTTATTTACAAATTATTCTCTAGCACTTTCAGACAACCAAGTCCATTGTCAGTAGAACTACAAATGAATTAATTTAGTAGCCATCTCCTAAGTCTGATATACAATTGTTGATGTAACATGTGATTGTACAGACTTAGGACCCAGCTACTAAAGCAGTTCATTTGTATATCTCCTGGTGATGGACTAGGTTGTCCAAAAGTGCTAGAGAACAATTTATTAATAAAGGTGAACTCCAGAAAAGCAGTTTATTTTTTGTTATTTTTAAAGAACTTGGAGTTGTTTTCCACATTAATTATAGTTTATTCTAAAATTCTAACAAAAGAAAAAAACAATTAACATATTACTAAACATTTCTTACATACAATTAATTTGTATATATCTTTCTGAGACATTGTTGGAATAAGGGAAGATTCCATTAAAACCTAGTTTCCATTTGGAAACTATTGGAAATAAGGGAAGACACATTAACTACACTAATTTGCTTATTACAGTTATTAAGTCAAACAATTAAGAGCAACCTGAAATATAAAGTGGATGATGCTAAAAAAGGATCTGAAGAAGTAGACGATGTTGGTGATTCTAGTCAGTTATCTCCTATTGTCAGTGTTGATCGATCACCTGTTTCTCGAACTGTGTCTGGATCATCACGAGTAAGTTAAAAGTGGTATTAGTTATACCACTAACAATATTTTAAAAACTATTTTAATTGTTATACCTAATTCTGTAGTACAAGCTGTATTTATTATATATACATATTTATTTTAATCAAGCATTAATTTCAAGTTATTATTATTTAATAAATTTTAATATATCTTGGGAAAATGCATTAAGTTTATTTTTTATTTTTGTATTAATAATTTATATGAGATGTCTTTTATGAGATGTATTATTATTATTATTATTATTATTATTGTTGTTATAATAATGATTGCAAAGCAAATTATTTTTTTTCTAATGAAATCACATGACTGTCACTCCTTCAGTTAAACAAACAGTAATCTGACAATTATAACTGAATTTTTTTTTTATGCAAAAAAACTTTTAGAACTGTGTAAGTTTAAGATAAGATGAAATTCCTACATTAGGAAAAATTTTTAGACTGAAAAAGTTAATCTGCAGTGTTTGACTTTAAAATTTAACTTAGTTTCACTGAATTTTTTTAAATGATGATGATTATGCATTTCTATATTAATAATGAAAGACTAAGCCAAAATTTTATTGACTTCTTAAGCTATATGTATTACTTCTCCATTCAAATATGGTATATATCTAAGTATTGAAATTTTTAAATAATATTTGGTTTAAAACAGCATCAGGGATCTGAATATTCTCCTCGTGATCATCATGATACAGCTGTTCCAAGCACAAGTTCCTTCAGCCGGCATCCATCCGTGCAAACAAAAACTCGACAGTGCTCTGTTGAAGATCATGGTACTGTTTGCATGGAATCTGGAGAAAAAGATTCTTATTTAGATGATGAACCTATAGAAGGTAAGGGAAATATTGTAATTAGAATTTTTATATATTTTATTAGAATAATGTAAAGTTATATTACATGCTAGGGATAAGACTTGAGCATTTAATAAAATATGATATAATAAATTTGATTTATGCTGTTTTTAAGCTCAGTTTTTATTATTTAAATATATGTATACAATGTAATCTCAATTTATGTTTATTTTTGTCATTCCAAACACTCTTTTCAAAAACAGGAACAAATTTATTCATTATTTTTTACTGTTAAAATTTGTACCTCATTTTGGCTTAAACTGGCAACAAAACTAATTTTAAGTAAACCATGGTTTTAGCATAAACCAAAAATTGGTTGTAAAAACTGATTTCGAACAGATAATAAAAATGGTATTGTTATTACAGTATTATTTTGTCTACTTGCCTTTTTTTACTTTTAGTTGACAGTAAAATATGCTTGGATTCATGATTCCTTATAACTGGTGTTCTACCATAAAATTTCAGTATAACATTACAATTTGTGCACTGCAACTGTGTTTTTACAAAGTGAAGAATGGTATTATCCTTGACTTTAAAAATAATATCATGCATTATTCTGGTTTAAATTTGAAAATTAATGTTAAAACCAATGAGAAATAATCTTAAAACAATAATGTTTTCAATTGCTATTTGTTAAATATAAATTAAATCTAGCTTTTACAAATTATCAAAGAAACACTTCTTTTTGGCAGGAATAAAATGATATAGGCATATTCACGAATCTTGGCTAATAATAATTATTGTAGTATTTTATTAATATTAATAAAATACAATAATAAAACATTAATTCTACTGAATTCACTTTTGAAACTAGTTTGTCTTTTTATATTTAAAAACTGGTTTTATTGAAAACTGATAGACTGATTTCAAAAATTTCTGGTTTTGACAATTTAGACCAGGGGTCGCCAAAGTGGTCGATATCGACCCCAATAATGTTATATCGACCCCCCCAGGGGTCGATATAACATTATTGGGGGTCGATTATCAAGCTTAAGCTAAAGATAAGGGGGAGCTAAGGATCAAGCTTATCTGTCTCACTGATAGTCAGTTACAAAAATTATTATTAACAAATATATAATAAATGAAAAAAATTCAAAATTAAAAGAAATGTATTAAAATAGTAAGTATTTTGTTTTGCTTGTAACATAAACTTTTTAGTGGGGGTCGATGTGAGGTTTCGAAAACTTGTAGGGAGTCTATGATCAAAAAAGTTTGGTGACTCTTGATTTAGACTAATTCTATATGTTTTTCAAATAAAATGAAAGTGCTACAAAAACATTTCTATTGATCAATGATTCTGAATGAAATAAGATAAAAATATTAATTAGATTATTTACTAATATAAAAGAAATTGTTATAAAATTAAAGATTTATACAAGTATAAATCATTATACATTTCTTTATTTAATGGTAAGAAAACAATAGTTATTTAAGACAATAAACATGTAAAAATAAGTAAAATAGTGTAAAATAAAATTGTTTTTAATTACTAAAATTATAATTATTGATGGAAGAGTTTTGTGATGTAGAGTATACCAAACTGCAAACCGTGTTAGAACAAATGACACTATCCTAATATAATGGAGTGTTTTTAAAGTATATTTTATTAAAAAATTGAACTATTAAATACTATATATTATTTTAAAAGAAATTTTATTTACAATAGTTTAGAAATAATGAACACAATCATTATGGTTTCTCATTTCCCTGTCCTTTGCTTGTCCTGGAATTTCAAGAAAACAGTGATCAGTTTCCCAGAATATAATTAATTATTTTTAATATATAAAATAAATCTTGAAATCAAATGTTATAATTATTTTTCATTTTTTAAGTAATTTAATATGTTCTACAATCTCCAAAATAATAATATTAACAATGCTGTGTAAAATATGTATTAGAAATTACCTTTGGATTACGTAGAAATTGTCACAAATAGAAAAAATTTATTAAAGTTTGTTGGAAACTGCTTACAACAAAAATGCCTCTGAATTGAGTTGAAAATTTAAAGAAAAAAATGAACTTAGATCAAACTTCTAACTTAGATGGTAATATTAGAAGCAAAGAAAAAAAACATTATATCCACACACAAGGTAAAGGGGTCCTTTTACCTTGTGTGTGGATATAATGTTTCAGGGACCTTTGTGAAATGTTGGTGCAAAAGCTGGAGAACAAGGTCCTAACTCACTTTCTTCCCAACATCCTTATATATAGGAGATATATTGATGATGATGATATTTTTTGCAAGAGTATTCTGGATGTGATGGCCTTTGTTGATTCTATCAACAATAATCTATACAGATTGACCCTGGAAATGGAACAATCCAGCCCTACCAAAGTGTATTTCTTAGAAGTAAATATTAGAGTGGAAGGCTTGGGCATCACCACCTCAGTGTATCATAAGCCAGGGTCCATGTCATCATACATTAGGTGGTGTCATGCAATCCAGTTTTGTACAAGATTGCAGCCTATAAAGCCTTAATCAGAAGAGCCTTTACACATTTTTCTGACACCCAGGCTCTTGATACCGAAGTAATGTCTATAGAGTGCATAGCTGCAGCATAGGGTTATCACAAACTTGCATGTAGGCTGATAGAATGTTATCAACATATACATTCGGAACAGGGTGGACTGGCTGATTGATAACCAACCCGATGCTAATAGAATAAATCCCCATCACCTTTAATTCATACGTAAGATCCTTATACTTAGAGGTTTCCAGGAAATGCTGTTTACATCTCACTTTCAGGAGGTGCCCAACTATTTTTGACATCCTACATAATGGGAAGGATCCTCCTAACCAGAGCATATTCCCCGGAATGTATAGTATCCCTATAAGGGATAATAGATGCAATAGAGACCTAATATATATAGACTCTACTAAACGTTCTGTGGACATCAGAATACAAGAACATTAGGCAGATATCCATCATGTGAGAATCTCCATGGCCCTCACTACTTATGTAACAGATCCAGATATAGTAGCCAACTTTTCCCGGGCCAATCTCATCCTTGCTGCGCCTTCCACTGAACACCTCAAATGGTTAGAGGCTATGCACATTTTTAAATCCAGCCTCACAGCTACATGCATAAATTTTAAAGAGGCAATGGTTTTGTCATTGGCCCTGGCAAGAGTTGATTCACAACTCACTCTAGCTGCGCACTGTGTCCAGGCAGCCCGATTTGTTGTGCATGCGCAACATGGGTTTTAGTAAAATTTTTCGAACTTATAATCAAACTCTTATTTAAACATTATTCCATAAACAAATAACCATCTAGAACAGTTAAGAACCTTATGCAGAGTCCAGAAGGGTTTGAAAACATTCACTTTTTGCATTGTTTTGTTATCACACCATAATTGGTTTTGAGTGCATCATTATCATAAATAACTACTCACCACACTGGATTAAAGTATCAGTTTTGTTCATGAGATAGACCAGACAGTTCAGATTCACTTTTTGCAAAGTAATGGTCTGTAGACATTTCAATTTTGCTCAAACACCTGCCATGAACTCATGCCAGATACATTCCCAACTTTTTGAGCAATATTTCTCCAAACTTGTTTTTAATGAATTCAAGTACTTTGCACCACAAGCATGAGAAGTATATTACTGTTTACATAGTGCCTAAAATCTTTCAATGGGACAGGTGTGGGGTACATGGGGCATTGTTTTCATTTTCTACAAACTCAAGCCCAGTACTTTGAATGAAGCTAATAACTGTGGGCATAATGGGCTGTTGCTAGATCTGGCCAAAATACCACAACTTCTATGTTATGGTGTTTTTGGAAAAAGGGAATAAAGTGCTACTTAACACTTTTTGAGGTATATAGCAGCATTGATAGATCTTCAAGAAATAAAAGATTTAGACATTTGTCTGCATTTATAAATTGCCTGCCATATTAAGTAATTTTGCAGAAATTTAGCTTTTCTATAAACCTAACTTAATATCATACAACTGATTTATTAGTGGAGTGGTAGAATTTTATTCAAGGCACTTGTTTTGTGTCTTTATGCCAGTATTTCTCATCATCTTTCACCAACACTGACTCTCTGAGTCCCAGATCGAACATTCCGATAGGGCGATGTCGATCTGCCCCCGTTCTCTAATTGGTCTCCCCTCCTCGTTATGAATTGTAACGGGATCGGAGCCCAGATCGCGGGGTGAGTCCCCCCGACTGACAATTTGATTCCTATCGAAGATGTTCGATCTAAGTACTCAAATTCATCTATTGTTTCTTTCTGAGAAATTCGTTTTTTCTCAGAAATTGCTACAGATATGACTATATAGGGACATAATATATTTGCCTTGCGTTAGACGGTTTCTTTTTACAATATAAAATAATGATTATTGTTATAATTTAAAAAAAAAAACACTTTTTTTTTTATACGAAATTAAAACATTTTCTGTGCACGAATTTCGACCCACTTCCGGAGCCTCACACTGATAGTTGCTCATTGAGCATAAAATGTTACCTATCCTTCTTTTGATATTGTCCTAAAATGCCTTCATAGTAATGGCAAATACAGAACAAGAGCTTCATTTCTTTTACTCTGCATGTTGACAGTTTTCCTCTCCCACCTGAAGTGGTATTGTCTGTAGGTGTGTATGTCCTGACAAGCAGTCTTACAAGTTTTATCATGGTTAGCATCAAATAACTATGTTAATATATTTGCTTTCTTAAGTAACTCTTTCATTTCTAAACACTCATTAATGACTTTTTTTTGTTTGATCAAATTTTAAATATTTTTATCCAAGTAAGTTTTTTAAATAGCTTCTTAAATGGAATTCTAACCTGTGAGATGTGAAGTGCTAACTTTAAATGAAAAAGTAAAAATTCTCAATATGGTTGAAATAGAAAAAAATCATTTGCAGTTATTACCAAGCTATATGAAAAAATGAATCTTCAATACACAAAGTAATGAAGAACAAAACTAAAATTTGTGCCAATTTTTCTGTTACATCTTGATCTACAAAAGTTTCTG